TATACTTTCAGATACTATAAAAATTCTACATATCTTTCACTTCCAAGATTCTATATAAAAACATTTTTGCTGAACTCTAATTCTAAAAATAAGACTTAACCATGATCTCTAAAAGAGCACACCTTTATAAGAGAGCTGTCAAAAAAAGAGTGCCAAGTGATTTTATACTTTATAAAAATCAAAATAAACTAAATCCTAATCAAGCTAAAGAAGCATATAGAAATTTAACTAAAGATGTCCGTATAGCTTTTGAAAGACAAGCGGAGATGTTGCGACTTGAAGCTGATTCAAATTTTATTGTCTTAGATGAGACGTTTGTCTTAGATAAGACGTTTTTTAAAGATACATCTGAACAAGTTGACGATACAAATGAAACTGTCTCAACTGTCTCAACTGTTAATGAAGATACATCTAAACGAGTTGACGATACAAATGCAACTGTCTCAACTATTAATGGCTCGGAAACAAAATTGTGTCCTCATTTTAATAACGTAACCAACAACTCATCATCACTCGAACAGCCAATCTTTCAAACATCTTGTGAAGATTTAATGATTCAGAATGAGATTTCATTCATTTACGGTAATGAAGAGAATATACTAATTTAATTCCTAAAAGAACTTGGACTAAATTTAAGAGCTTAAAGTTGTGCTAGGATCATATAGGCCAATATTACATGTAATCTAATATATTTGTTATATACTATATATACAGTATATTTAGAATTTTCATTTTGTTATTTCACTATATACTTTATTTTTATTTGTATATCATTGATTAAAACGACATACTTGGTTATCGTGAAGTGCAGAGTGAGAAGGAAAAGTTAATGTCATAAATTTTTACTTTAATTACTTCGAATATATACATATTTCCTTCCTGAGAGCGTTAGAATTCGAACAGTTCTAATTAGAATTAATACCCATTTTTTAAAAAAAATTATAATAACATATAGAAATTAAGTGAGAAGATCTTTCTGACTATTTGGAGATCAAGTTCTGTAACGATTGTGTAAAAATAAATGTCGCAGCTGATGCTGAAATTTTTTCATATTTTATTATGAATTTATAAAAAATTTTAGGGTCTTTTTTGTACACTTTTTTTTCATAGTTGGGTTAGGGTAAGTAGGGTAGTTTTATTAATAAAAAAGTATATTTGGATTTTAGTAGGTATTATAGATTTAAATAGAGACAATATCCGAATATAAAGGGCATTCTCAAATTTATCTGTCTGATCAAACAGCCAATCAGATTCTTTATTGAATTCATTGAGAGAGGTGCTTGAGTTACTAAAACCTTCGATCATATTATTGGCTTTACCAAACCCTTACAAGTTACTATTGTGCTATATCGTGCACAGTAAAGTAACTCCTATCAATAGTAACAATGATTCTCATCATTCGAACTTTCATTCTTACACTAAAAAGTTCACACAAAACCATTAGTATCCACTTTTTTTAGTAACCATATAAATTGTATTACATTTTTTTTTGTGAATTCCTCTAAGGTATGGCGATATAATAAGACTAACTTTAATTAATTTGCATTTGCAAATTTATTAACGTTAAGCTATCTGGATCTCGAATTTGAAATTAATACCTGCGAGGAATTAGATTATGATTTTTCTCTTTCATGCAATTATCAAATTAATTATCTAGATGCTATTAAATTATGGCCTATTCAAATAGATTAAATACACGAAAAAAACATCTATAATTACAGAATTAGTGTTCCAAAAATTTAAGCTTTCTGGTCATACGGTAATTCTCGTGTAACAAATACTATGTGTACTACGTTAGGCACCGTAGAAAAAAAAACGCAACAATAATAAATTCCTTTGATATAATGGGAGAACCATTGCCAACTGCATGGAATGTTGAAAATAAATCCCCGTTTTTGAGCATAGACTCGGATAGACTTGGTGTGAAATACATAGGTAAGGTACAATTATTTATTTTTGGTGGGTTTAAGCAATTAACTTCACCGGGAAATAAAATGCATCAACACAAAAAATAAATGATAAGATTATCAGTTATAAATGGATAAATTTATAATCCCTTGATATTAAACCGTATACTTAATATTAGTTCAGTATATAGCATATTAATTTACTAGAAATTTTTTTGAATGAAAAGGCCCTGATTATTATAAAGTTTCCGCTATAATTCTAGCAAATAATCCTATTCCTCTACAATGTATATTGTTTTACTTTGAAGTTAAAATTATAAACAGTGGAAATAATGGGTAAATTTATTAATTAATTATGTTAAGAAATTCATTATTACACTTATAATTTACTTATAATTTCTATAATTCAAATCTCTTAAAAGAATGATTGGAGTCGGATTTTGCTCAAAACAAAGCACAAACTCTGATAATTTAGATATCATGCCTATGCCTGGTAATACAAAATTTTTATTCATTTTAATTAATTATGAGTTTGACTTAACGCCTTATGTCATAATACATAATATCCTTAGGACAGGAAAGTAACTCGTGGGGTTATCACGGTGATGATGGATTAATTTATTGCAATGAAAGTGGCGAACCGTATGGTCTACCATATACTACTGGTGATACCATTGGATGCTATTTAAATTTCACAAATAAAATAGTATATTATACTAAAAATGGAGTAAATTTGGGTAATTATTTCTAACAATAAATTTTAATAATTTTAATTAGAAGAAATTTAATTTTTTATAATAAATTTTAAGGGATTGCGTGCTATTTGCCTGTTAAATTGGAAGATCTATACCCTTGTGTTGGATTTAGATCACAAGACGGGTTTGTAAAAGCAAATTTTGGTCATGAAATGTTTGAATATTCAGGTAAATTTATTTAATACTACACGGTTAATATGTGCTTAAGCTTATTTAACATTTATTTACCTATTTCACTAATATAACTAAATAGTAATGAATAATGAAGTTTTTGGTATGTACAAATAAACTGGATTGAACCAAATAATGCACTTTCACTAAAATTTCAAGAAAAATTTTATTTCATTATAGGAAAATATGATGCATCACTTACTGGTTTAACCAATGAACTAACCGAATCATTGAAAAACAAACCGAACAATATATTTGAATTAAACTATCGAGCAAAAATATTTTTTATTATGAGCAAATATGAAGAAGCGCTTAAAGATTTAACTAAAGTTTTAGAAATTGAACAAAATAATATAACAGCACTAAGATATCGAGGAGAAACTAATTATATAATGGCAAAATATAACGAATCAATTGTTGACTTAAATAAATTATTAGAAGTTGAGCCAGAGGATGCATGGGCAAAAGAGGCCAGTAAATTGTTTAAAGAAATGTAGGTATAATTTACACTTACAAATCCAGCTTCAGGTTTACTAATAAATTCTACATTTATATACTTACACTAGTCTGTAAGCATTTAATTAGAATTTTTTTAAATCAGAAATCTCATTAATTCAAACCAAAATAAATTTTAAATAATTCATATGCCACTCTAGCGAGTAAGTATTTTTGAATCATAAATATTTTTACCATGAGAAATCATTAATTAAAAATAATAACTTTAAATAATCCATATGCGCACGCTAGTGAGTAAGTATTTTGAATCATAAATACTTTTACAATGAGAAATCTTACTAACTTAAAATAATAACTTTATACTACACGTAGTATGCAAGTATTCTGAATCAGGAACATTTTTGCTATCAATAATTTTTAAAAAAACTAATAACTTTAAATAACCCACACACGTATATTAGTAAGTAAGTATTCTAAATCAGAAACATTTTTCAATAAAAAAAATTGTTAATTCAAAAACTAAATAACCCACCCACGTACATTAGAGAGTAAGTATTCTAAACCAGAAACATTTTTCAATAAAAACATTGTTGATTTAAAAACTAAATAATATAACAATTACCAAAATATGTATTCTAGTAAGTAAGTATTTGAAATAGAGATATTTTTACAATCGGAAATCTCAATATGATATTCAAATAACCTATGCGTGTATAGATATGAAAGGTTGTAAGTAATCAGAATTGGAGTTCAGCAAAAATGTTTTTATATAGAATCTTGGAAGTGAAAGATATGTAGAATTTTTATAGTATCTGAAAGTATA